CTATTAGACATAAAATCTGAAGTTTCATCCTTAAAGAAACCAAAGATACGCAAAGGTCTAGAGATACGGATGTTATATGTAGAACAAGCAAATAGAAATACAACATATTTTCATGTTGTCTCCAATCAAAGGAAGAGAAAACTTTAATTCATGTGCTAGAAGGTCCATAGGGGCCGGCCAGCAAATCAAGGGATATGTTAGATATTGCAATTGATTATAAAGAACTCTTTAGTCATGAGCATGCCTGATATCCGTTAGGGATGATTTCTTTAATGGAGAAGAAAAGGTGTCTCCTCAAGAAAATAGTTCACCTTTCGTTGAGTAGGAGTGTGAAGGCAGCTGTTTTGAATCTTCTTCTGATGGAGCACGAGGGTTGAGCTCTCTTTCATGCTCTGTCAAAAGCAGGGGCGTACCCAGAGAGAAAATGGCAGCGGTTGGACGGCGGCGAGTGATGCGGGTTCTCTAGTGCTGGTCCGTGTCCTGTCTATCAGATCTGTTCCTTTCGCACGTCATCATGCGAATGTTCTCGCAAACGTAAAATGCACACAGATTATTCCCCGGCGCCTGCTTCAGGACCTTTACGAGAATGAAATTGAATCAGATAATGATTAATCAAGCACGATAATTAATTAATAATATTGAAACAAGAATTAAAAAGATGGTAGCTAGCTAGTACTACTTAATTACTTACCTTGGGTCGATGCCAAAACAACTTTTTTGCCCACTTGTCTGGAGTCACCTTGATGAACTTTGCCCATGCCCTGCCCGCCGGCAAAGAAAATTAATAAAGGGGTTATTAAATAGTTCATATCATGAAATGACGAACTAATAATTAATAGACCGAGATATAGTTAATAATGATTGAAATTACCTGTTGACTATATATCCCCTTCAGGATGGTGTAGTCTTTATCTTCTTTAGTTAGCGAGTCCAGTAATTCAACTTTTCCTTCCTCAACTTTAATGTCTAACAAGACCCAGTGCCAACTGCATACGCACACATTTGCATGTCTTAATTAAGCGGGCATGTGCATAAAATTAATCAACTACCGTAAACCGTATACACTTAATTATTAACATCTAGCTAGGTAGTAAGCAAAAAAATAGAATTTGTAGTACAAGACAGTGTGACTCACGGGAAGTTGTAAGGAAGTAGTATATCTTCATTGCTATTGAGGCGCTTCAAGAACTCTAGCATGCTTTCCTCTACAGCATCTTGACAATATTTAATCTGTCATATGTCCTCATTAATGGTATTTGGGTCAATGAACCCAACGTCATAGCGTCCAACTTTTTTCATTTCATACATCTTCATCCTGCATATAATACCACAGAAAAAGAATATAGTGAGGATAATTACATGTAATGATTGCTCAAAATTATCACTACATAACTAGCTTGAGACTTAAATTACAGAAAGAAATCACTTACAGACAATAGCAACTGACGATAGACTTGCCGAGTGCGTCTTGATTGTATAACTGAAATAGTTCTGGATACTCAATGGCCAGAGCTTTCTCATGGTAATAATGCTCATGCTTGACATTCACCATGAGTGACTCTTGATTGGAAATCTTGGTAATGTTCATGTACCATTGATGCAATTGATACATTCTCGTTGGGAGGTCCTTGACCTTGTCTGGATGGACCAAAGGTTGGCCCCGGACATATTTCCATGCTATTTCCGATTCTCTAAGCGTAGGCATGGGCTCGATTTCGAGGAGTTGTCCAACAGAGATATTGAGCATTTGAGCCTGCATTATATGATCCTCCGTTATTACCACATCACCATGCTGGGGAACGCTAACGGTTTGCCCACAATAATATTTGGCGCGCGTACTACTCCTCTCATGTGTTGTTGGCACAACAAGCGGGGGGATCGCTTGCGCCGCCTGTTCTCCCAACTGGGGAACGGTTTTCCCGCTTTTTTGCCAGCTGCTTGTTAGCTCGAGCTCGAGCTCGCTTCCTTCTTTAGCCGTTCTCGATGTAGTTTCCTGATTTGGCGCTCATAGTCCGAGTCAACAGGCTTGGGAGCTGGTTCTCTAGCCATACGAATGAAGTGGTCAATTACTTTCTCAGGCACTCTCTCCTTTGGCGGCGGTGCCGGTTTCGGTCCAAAATGGGCGTCCACTTGGGCTTGCACTATGGATGTGTTTTGCTCCTTAGTCATGTCGTAAGGCCTCTAAGGAAGAGGAGCGAGGCTTGGACCATATTTATATTGCTTGTCTCCGTCTGTACTTCCTGAACTACCTCGACTCGTACCGCTACGCACCAAAGCTGCGGCATGTCTCTTCTGCGATTGCTGAGACGGCGGAGACGGCTGACGTGGAGTTGGACCAGGAGAAGTGGCCTGACGATGTGCCGGACTTGAAGCAGGAGGTGTGGCCTGACATGATGCCGGACTTAAAACCGGAGAAGTGGCATGACGTTGCGCCGGACTTGAAACAGCAGGAGTCAGCTCACGCGTTCGGGGACTTGGAGGAGGTGGCGGACTTCGAGGAGGAGTCGCCTCACGTGTTCGTGGACTTGGAGGAGCGGGAGTCTGCCGACTCGGTGGCGGACTTCGAGGAGGAGTCGACAGACGGTGCGGTGTCGGTGGACTTCGAAAGATGATGCAATCCTTTCTCCATAGGATGATACGATGTATGGCCTCTCCCAGTGTGCGCTCGTCTTCACCTCCAGGAATGTCAACCGTTAACCCCGAATATGGGTCCACCACTTCATCAACCATGACACGAGCATAGCCCTCTGGAATAGGGATGCAATGGTAGGTTGCTTCGGGGGTAACTGGAAAAGCAACGCCGCCCGCCACCTTCATGGATATGTTCTTCATTTTGGAGTGTAGCTCACAGTTAGTGTTCTCTATGATGTCATCCACAGGGTATGTATCCAGCAGTGTGTCGCCCGGGGCAGAACCAACGTTGCTTCTCGGCATGGATGTGACGGTGCTATCCAATGCTGGATGATCATCCGCTTGCTGCTGCCGCTGCTGAGACCCCCTTTCCTGGCTAAGTGAGTCAATCTGCTGCTGCTGGAATTTGAGTGCCAGGTCCGCGTGCCTTGCTTCTAGGCCTTGAAGGCGTTCTGTGTCCTGCTTCCTCTGCTCCTCCTCTAGCTTCCTCTTCTTATCCTCCTCCATATTCTTTCTTGCACGGGACCTGTAGTCGTCATTCCAGTCCGAAAAGCCCTCATACCAGGGAATAACGCCCATGCCTCGTGTTCTTCCCGGGTGTTCAGGATTTCCCAGGGCGCGCGTAAGCTCGTCGTTCTCTCTATTGCGTCAAGTATCTTTTGTTCGGCTCCTTTTGGACTTGCCTTCTTCGAAACCAGGCCTGTCTTTGGGTCCAACGCCCCCCATGCGCATAGAACCAAGTTCTGCACCTGGGGGGCCAGCTCCTAGTAATCGGAGTGACCCCTGCACCCTCCATCTCTTGCTCAGACTTATCCCACTTAGGCATTCCCACAGTGTAGCCACCTGGACCTAGCCTATGGAATTGCATCTTTCTTGCGGCATTTGCCTTGTTTTTCATCGACCGTTCCTTAGATAATTTTGAATCCTTGAAGGTCATGAAATCGTCCCAGTGTTCTCTTTGCTTCTCCAGTGTTCCCTTGAAATCTGGAGTCTTTCTTTCATTAGCGAGGTAGTTGGCCCATACAGTTTTCTTGTGGGTGTTGAATGCAATTGCCATCTTCTTAAGAGCAGCGGCCTTGACTTTCTCCACATCTGCTTCAGTGAAATGATCTGGTAGGGTGAAATGTTCCATTAGAGATTTCACCAGGTCTTTTTTGGCTCTGTCGTCGACCCAAGTAACACCTGGACGTTTAGTCTTTGGCTCTTTCCATTCTTGAATGGAGATCGGGAGTTTGTCCTTCAGAAGAACTCCGCACTGACGAGTCCACTTGTCCGCAACGTTCTTAGGCGTGAGGGGTTCGCCACTAAGTTTGGTGGATTCGATGTGGTACTTTACACCATCCTTCAACAATCTGCCCGGGCCTCACTTTGTCTTGCTGTCTGTAGAAGCAGATTTGCTCGATCC